AGTGCTGGTGGTAATGACTTTGGTAAGGGCAGGAGAGAGGAGCTGCTGGATAAGTACAGGTCAGCCATAGAAGTAGTTAGGTCTAAGGGAGGGATCCCAGTCATATGTAGCATCTTGCCTAGAAATTGAGTGGGCAATAAATGGATGTCTAGGGCAATTGGTATAAACTGCTGGCTAGACAGGTACTGCAAGGAACTTGCAATCCCATTCATTGATAACTAGGACCTATTCTTTGACAAACGTGATATGTATGCAAGGGATGGGGTTCATCTCTCTGGGGATGGAGTGGTTGCATTAGCCAATTCAATTAAGAGGGTAATTGATGACTTGTCTAGGAATTTAAACTGATAGATTATAGAGGTATGGGTGTTTGTGGGAAACAATCAGGCTGCAGCATTAGGGTTAAAAACAGCAGTTATTACCGGGATACCTCAGGGATATGTTTAAAAGACAATATTCAAAATAAAGTTGCTAGTAATGGCAAATACATTGATCAATAAACAAAGAGGAATAGTAGAGGGTAACGATTGAACAACTCCCTTAAAGTTTACTATACAAATAGTAGGAGTCTAAGAAATAAGATAGATGAGCTAATTATTATTATTATTATTATTATTATTATTATTATTATTATTATTATTATTATTATTATTATTATTATTATTATCATGGGGGAAGCGCTAAACCCGGAGGATTATACAGATAGATGAGCTAAGATTACTTGCAAGTGTAGGTAATATAGATATTGGTATAATAGAGACCTGGTTCAACTTGAAAGATAGAGAAATGGCTTCTGAATGCAACATACAAGGTTATAAACTATTCCACACTGATAGGGTTAACAGGAAAGGTGGTGGGGTGGCGATGTATGTCAGAGAAGATTTAAATTGTTGTCTTAGACATGATATAAGATTGGAGACATCGAACACAGAATCTGTTTCGCTACAGTTTCTCGAGGGACATGACAAATTAATTTTGGGTGTGATTTATAGGCCCCTAAACCTTGATAGGGAGGGCAGTAAGCTGTTATGGGACGAAATTCATAAGGCATCTAGATATGAAAATGTTGTGATAATGGGAGATTTTAACTTTAGACAAATTGATTGGAACAATATGACGGGAATTCTTGAGTCTAGTGACTTTCTTGATACGGTTCAGGATTGCTTTCTAGAACAGGTTGTGGCAGAACCAACTAGAGGAAACAATCTGCTTGACTTGGTTCTTGCCAACAAAGATTCACTAATTAATAATCTTGAGGTTAATGATGAGCTTGGGGAAAGTGATCACAAATCACTTAGTTTTAATATATCATGGAATTACCCAGATAACTGCAGTCAAATCTCTGTCCCAGATTTTCGCTTGGCCGACTTCATGGGACTGAAAAATTACCTGGGTGGGCTAAATTGGGATGTCCTGACTATGGGTCAGGTAGGTGATCTTGGTTGCCAATATGACGTTTTTCAGAGCATAGTTCTAGCTGCCCAGACAACTTTTGTTCCGAGTAGGGAAATTAGATCAAACAAAAATGATCCCAAATGGATGAACAATAGATTAAAACATCTCATTGGTCAAAAGAGAGGCATATATAGGCGTATCAAAAGAGGGGATGGGCAGTTAAGAAATCAATATATTCAATTAAAGAGAGAAATAAAGAAAGGAATAAGAAAAGCAAAAAGAGATTATGAGGCTAAGGTCGCAAGGGATTCAAAGATTAACCGTAAAGGATTCTTTCAGGTATACAGAAGTAAGATTAGGGACAAGATTGGCCCACTTAAGAGTAACTCTGGTCAGATCACTGACAGTGATAAGGATATGTGTGAAATTCTAAATACCTACTTCCTCTCAGTTTTCACCCAGGAAAATACTAGCGATATTCCTGAAATAATACATTATGTGGAACAGGATGATAATAAACTATGTACGATTGCGGTAACTAGTGACAAGGTCCTCAGACAAATAGAGAAACTAAAACCTAACAAATCCCCAGGTCCTGATGAACTGTTCGCAAGGGTGCTAAAAGAATGTAAAGAGGAACTTAGCATACCTTTGGCTAATCTTTTTAACATATCTCTACAAACTGGCATAGTGCCTGATAAGTGGAAAATGGCAAATGTAATACCTATTTACAAGGCAGGTGACAGGTCCTTGGCTTCGAACTATAGACCAATAAGCCTTACCTCCATAGTGGGAAAATTTATGAAATCTATAACTGCTGAAGCAATTCGAAGCCATCTTGACAGGCACAGATTGATTAATGATTCTCAAGAGGGTTTTACGAAGGGGCGTTCCTGTCTTACGAATTTACTAACTTTTTTCACTAAGGTGTTTGAGGAGGTAGATCATAGTAATGAATATGATATTATGTATATGGACTTCAGTAAGGCTTTCGATAGAGTTCCACACCAGAGGCTATTGAGGAAACTTAAGGCACACGGAATAGGAGGAGAAATTTTTTCCTGGGTAGAGGCATGGCTGACAAATAGACAGCAGAGAGTTTGCATAAATGGGGAGAAATCAGAATGGGGGCACGTCACAAGCGGTGTTCCTCAGGGGTCAGTGTTGGGCCCGTTGTTGTTCACAATTTACATAAACGACATAGATGAGGGAATAAATAGCGACATAAGCAAATTTGCTGATGACACCAAAATAGGCCGTCCAATTCATTTTAATGAGGACACTAGAGCACTCCAGGATGATTTGAATAGACTGATGCAATTGTCGGAGAAGTGGCAGATGCAGTTTAATATTGACAAATGTAAAGTTCTAAATGTTGGACAGGACAATAACCATGCCACATGTAAACTAAATGATATAAATCTTAATACTACTGATTGGGAAAAGGATTTAGGAGTTCTGGTTAGCAGTAATTTAAAACAAAGACAACAGTGCATTAGTGTTCGCAATAAAGCTAACAGAATTCTTGGCTTCATATCTAGAAGTATAAATAATAGAAGTCCTCAGGTTGTTCTTCAGCTCTATGTATCCTTGGTTAGGTCTCATTTAGACTATGCTGCTCAGTTCTGGTCACCGTATTACAGAATGGATATAAATGTTCTGGAAAACGTACAGAGGAGGATGACAAAGATGATCCCATGTATCAGACATCTTCCCTATGAGGATAGACTGAGGGCCCTGAATCTGCACTCTCTCGAAAGGCGTAGAAATAGGGGGGATATGATCGAGGTGTATAAATGGAAAACATTAATAAATAAAAGGGATGTAAATAGCGTGCTGAAAATTTCCAGCCAAGACAGGACTCGCAGCAATGGTTTCAAGTTGGAAAAATTCAGATTCAGGAAGGATATAGGAAAGTACTGGTTTGATAATAGAGTTGTGGATGAGTGGAACAAACTCCCGAGTACAGTTATTCAGGCTAAAACGTTGTGTAGTTTTAAAAATATGTTAGATAAATACATGAGTGGGTGTGGGTGGGTGTGAGTTGGACCTGACCAGCTTGTGCTGCTGGGTTTGTTGCAGTGCTCCATCCTTGAGCGGAGATGACCAGACTGGGTGGTTCATTGGGTTAATCCGGGGGGGGATCATTGATCTAATCCGTAGGGGGGGGACATGGACCTGCTCCGCATGGGTCAGTAGGCCTGTTGCAGTGTTCCTTCTTTCTTATGTTCTTATGTTCTTACTCCTCTCTTCCTTGCCGGGCATGGCCCCCTCGGCGCCAGGGCACCTTAAATACACTGCCTGTGTACCCACTATCTCACAAATAAAGTAAGAAGCCTCCGAAACGTTTATCATTGCTCCCCGTATGACAATCATACTTATTAAAGATGTGCGACTCAGATGTGCTCGGTATACCGCAAGATCCTTATCCTTGAGTGAGGTTTGCAGTCTTTGGCCACCTAGCCTATACTCTGTCTGCGGTCTTCTTTGCCCTTCCCCGATCTTCATGACTTTGCAGTTGGTGTGTGTGTGTGTGTGTGTGTGTGTGTGTACTCACCTATTTGTACTCACCTATTTGTGGTTGCAGGGGTCGAGTCCTAGCTCCTGGCCCCGCCTCTTCACCGGTTGCTACTAGGCCCTCTCTCTCCCCGCTCCATGAGCTTTATCAAACCTCGTCTTAAAACTGTGTATGGTTCCTGCCTCCACTACGTCATTTTCTAGGCTATTCCACTGCCTTACAACTCTATGACTGAAGAAATACTTCCTACTATCTCTCTGACTCATTTGTGTCTTCAGCTTCCAATTGTGGCCTCTTGTTTCTGTGTCCCTCCCTGGAACATCCTGTCTTTGTCCACCTTGTCTATTCCACGCAGTATTTTATATGTCGTTATCATGTCTCCCCTGACCCTCCTGTCCTCCAGTGTGGTCAGGCCCGATTTCCCTTAATCTTTCCTCATAGGGACATTCCCCTTAGCTCTGGAACTAACCTTGTCGCAAACCTTTGTACTTTCTCTAGTTTCTTGACGTGCTTTATCAAGTGCGGGTTCCAAACAGGTGCTCCATACTCCAGTATGGGCCTGACATACACGGTGTACAGTGTCTTGAATGATTCCTTACTAAGGTATCGGAATGCTGTTCTCAGGTTTGCCAGGCGCCCATATGCTGCAGCAGTTATCTGATTGATTTTTGCTTCCGGAGACATGCTCGGTGTGATACTCACCCCAAGATCTTTCTCCTTGAGTGAGGTTTGCAGTCTTTGGCCACCTAGCCTATACTCTGTCTGTGGTCTTCTGTGCCCCTCCCCCATCTTCATAACTTTGCATTTGGCAGGATTAAATTCGAGAAGCCATTTGCTGGACCAGGTGTCCAGTCTGTCCAGGTCTCTTTGAAGTCCTGCCTGGTCCTCATCAGATTTAATTCTCCTCATTAACTTCACATCATCTGCAAACAGGGACACTTCTGAGTCTAACCCTTCAGTCATGTCGTTCATGTGTGTGTGTGTGTGTGTGTGTGTGTGTGTGTGTGTGTGTGCGCGCGCGCCTATGTGTACATAAGTAAGTGCGTATGCACACATAGGTGTGCACGTGCTAAGAAGAAACACTCACCTGGCCTCCAGTAGCACTGGACGTCTTACAGTGAAGAATGACTGAGGCGCCCACTTGGCCTGTCACCACACTGTTGTTCTGGGTGACAAACCTCTCCCCGTCGACCTTCCTGCCTGGAGGCCCCAACTCCAGGTAGTTGTTGCTGCTACTCCACTCAGCTGCGGGGAGAAACAACACACCATCAGCGTATCTATTGCAAATTCTTCCCCAAGAAGTAAGAAACGTGAATATTATTAGGAAAGCAAAACTATTCTGTATTGAGCATTAATAATGTCCTACACTTGACGTCTCTCAGTACACATGTCTTAAAAAAAGATATCCTGTTGGGAAAAACTTTGTTTCCGGAGATTGGTTTCTATTCCAAGATTTGTACAAAAGCTCCGTCTCATTTTATAATCTCATTATTTACACTATATCAGGGGCGATATTATCCTTTCAGGAGCACCATTTAGGCCAGATAGTTTGTGAAAAAACCGCAAAAAATGCTTCTTTTAGAGTATTGTCCCATAAAATACCAATGAAAACCAGGCAGGAATTCGGTATCATATTTATTATACAATTTTTCTACGCTATCTTTTTGGCTAATATAGTTTTTTTTATTATTGAAGATGCTATCAGCCACTCAAATAAGAGCAAGACGTGAAATTTCGGTAAAATGATCAATGTTAACTTATTTTTGCATTTTTTGCTAACTCGCTGAAAAGTGATAAATGGCATCATCTAATCTAGCAACTGTTGCCATCTAGCAATGAGAGGAAGTGCTGTATGGATGCTGAAAGTGGGTCTATGTCGGCCTGGAGTTTCCAACTATGTTCTCCAAATAACATTTGACTTTATTAATATTTTCATTTTAACTGATAATAATAATAATAATAATAATAATAATAATATAATATCTTTATTTACTACTAGTACATGTACAAGGTATACAGACCATTGCTGACATCAGTGACATACTACTATATAGAAAGCTGCTTGTTATGCTGAGCATTTCCCGCAAATTAGGTCAGTTTAGTCCCAAGATGCGACTCACACCAGTCGACTAACACCCAGGTACCCATTTTAAACTAATGGGTGAACAGGGACAGGGACAGCAGGTGTCTTATGAAAACACGTCCCAAATGTTTTCCAAACGTACCGGAGGAGAACCGAATCCCGGACCTCAGTGTGTGAGCTGAGTGCTCTAAAAACAGCTCGTCCAACTCATTCGCAAAAACACTTGAACAAGCAGAGGACCGGCATAATAGTGGAGGAAGCAAAATGTGAGTGGAACAATAACATTCAGTTTTGCAGATTGAGACACTTATGCAACATATGGGAATTTTTATTCAGGAAACGTTTCGCTACACAGTGGCTTCATCAGTCCAACACAAAGTAGAAAGGCGTAAGGAGAGGAGGAGTTTGAGGTAATCAGTCCCTCAGCCTGGAGTCGATATCTCAGTCCATCAATCTACAAGATTGATGGACTGAACACATCGACTCCAGGCTGGAGGGTTGAGTGGTCGACACTGTACATAAAGCGAAGACACAATCTCGTCATTACAGACACAATTATTTTATAGGAACACGAGCACAGTCCTCGTTTTCACTATTTTCTTTTACCCCTTGTAGTTATTCATCTTTCATTTTCTCACATTTTCACTAATTTCAGGATAAAGTGATATATTTTGTAACAGACATCTTAGTTATAAATCTGATTATGTTCCTTACTATCGTATAAACATAATTATAATAATTTTGCAATAATCTATTTTTCAACTTCTGGAGTATGATAGACTCACACTAACTTATTTTAAATAATCAGAGCAATTGGCGTATTATTATCCCATTTAATAGGAATTACTGCCTAGGCCTATTTAGAATATTCCCAGCTGATTGAATGTAAAAATAATTTACACAGGATGGAATGAAGAAAAAATTTAGCTACGTAAACTCTGACTTTCACAAACACGTTCATCAGGTCCAAACTTAACAACAAGTCACGTTCATCAGGTCCAAACTTAACAACAAGTCACGTTCATCAGGTCCAAACTTAACATCAAGTCACGTTCATCAGGTCCAAACTTAACAACAAGTCACGTTCATCGGGTCCAAACTTAACAACAAGTCACGTTCATCAGGTCCAAACTTAACATCAAGTCACGTTCATCAGGTCCAAACTTAACAACAAGTCACGTTCATCGGGTCCAAACTTAACAACAAGTCACGTTCATCAGGTCCAAACTTAACATCAAGTCACGTTCATCAGGTCCAAACTTAACAACAAGTCACGTTCATCGGGTCCAAACTTAACAACAAGTCACGTTCATCAGGTCCAAACTTAACATCAAGTCACGTTCATCAGGTCCAAACTTAACAACAAGTCACGTTCATCGGGAACAAACTTAACATCAAGTCACGTTCATCGGGTCCAAACTTAACAACAAGTCACGTTCATCGGGATCAAACTTAACATCAAGTCACGTTCATCGGGATCAAACTCAACATCAAGTCACGTTCATCGGGAACAAACTTAACATCAAGTCACGTTCATCGGGTCCAAACTTAACAACAAGTCACGTTCATCGGGATCAAACTTAACAACAAGTCACGTTCATCGGATCCAAACTTTACATCAAGTCACGTTCATCGGGATCAAACTTAACATCAAGTCACGTTCATCGGGTCCAAACTTAACAACAAGTCACGTTCATCGGGATCAAACTTAACATCAAGTCACGTTCATCGGGTCCAAACTTAACAACAGGTCACGTTCATCGGGTCCAAACTTAACAACAAGTCACGTTCATCGGATCCAAACTTAACAACAAGTCACGTTCATCGGATCCAAACTTTACATCAAGTCACGCTCATCGGATCCAAACTTAACAACAAGTCACGTTCATCGGATCCAAACTTAACACGTCACGTTCATCGGATCCAAACTTAACATCAAGTCACGTTCATCGGATCCAAACTTAACAACAAGTCACGTTCATCGGATCCAAACTTAACATCAAGTCACGTTCATCGGATCCAAACTTAACAACAAGTCACGTTCATCGGGTCCAAACTTAACAACAAGTCACGTTCATCGGATCCAAACTTAACAACAAGTCACGTTCATCGGATCCAAACTTAACATCAAGTCACGTTCATCGGGATCAAACATAACAACAAGTCAAGTTCATCGGATCCAAACTTAACAACAAGTCACGTTCATCGGATCCAAACTTAACAACAAGTCACGCTCATCGGATCCAAACTTAACAACAAGTCACGTTCATCGGGTCCAAACTTAACAACAAGTCACGTTCATCGGGTCCAAACTTAACAACAAGTCACGTTCATCGGGTCCAAACTTAACAACAAGTCACGTTCATCGGATCCAAACTTAACAACAAGTCACGTTCATCGGGTCCAAACTTAACAACAAGTCACGTTCATCGGATCCAAACTTAACAACAAGTCACGTTCATCGGATCCAAACTTAACAACAAGTCACGTTCATCAGGATCAAACTTAACAACAAGTCACGTTCATCGGGTCCAAACTTAACAACAAGTCACGTTCATCGGGTCCAAACTTAACAACAAGTCACGTTCATCGGGTCCAAACTTAACATCAAGTCACGTTCATCGGGTCCAAACTTAACATCAAGTCACGTTCATCGGGTCCAAACTTAACAACAAAGTCACGTTCATCGGCCCAAACTTAACATCAAGTCACGTTCATCAGGTCCAAACTTAACATCAAGTCACGTTCATCGGGTCCAAACTTAACATCAAGTCACGTTCATCGGGTCCAAACTTAACAACAAGTCACGTTCATCGGGTCCAAACTTAACATCAAGTCACGTTCATCGGGTCCAAACTTAACATCAAGTCACGTTCTTTCGGGTCCAAACTTAACATCAAGTCACGTCATCGGGTCCAAACTTAACAACAAGTCACGTTCATCGGGTCCAACTTAACAACAAGTCACGTTCATCGGATCCAAAACTTAACATCAAGTCACGTTCATCGGATCCAACTAACAACAAGTCACGTTCATCGGGTCCAAACTTAACAACAAGTCACGTTCATCGGGTCCAAATTTAACATCAAGTCACGTTCATCGGATCCAAACTTAACAACAAGTCACGTTCATCGGGTCCAAACTTAACATCAAGTCACGTTCATCGGGTCAAAACTTAACAGCAAGTCACGTTCATCAGGTCCAAACTTAACATCAAGTCACGTTCATCGGATCCAAACTTAACAACAAGTCACGTTCATCGGGTCCAAACTTAACATCAAGTCACGTTCATCGGGTCTAAACTTAACATCAAGTAACGTTCATCGGGTCCAAACTTAACATCAAGTCACGTTCATCGGGTCCAAACTTAACAACAAGTCACGTTCATCGGATCCAAACTTAACAACAAGTCACGTTCATCGGGTCCAAACTTAACATCAAGTCACGTTCATCGGGTCTAAACTTAACAACAAGTCACTTTCATCGGGTCCAAACTTAGAATCAAGTCACGTTCATCGGGTCCAAACTTAACATCCAGTCAATACCACTTATCATGTTATCTTACACAGTTTTCCATACCATTCCTTAGATCATCACCATACTGCATGTCAACACAATATCTCATGTAAACAATAAATCTGGTTGTCATCATAACTCCGGTAAACACCGTACGCAAAGTCAGCACCATACCTAAGGCCTACACCATACAAAAGGCCTACACCATACAAAAGGCCAACACCATACAAAAGGCCTACACCATACCACAGGCCTACACCATACCACAGGCCGTCAGCATATCTCAAATTTACACCATATATCAGGTCAGCACCAACAGGTCAGCACCATCAGGTCAGCACCATCAGGTCAGCACCATCAGGTCATCATTGTTTGAAAATATAACAATTAAAGCTGGGACTAAGGTAAGAGACAGTACTGTTACATCTGGTGTTGCTGACACTAAAACGTCACAGAAGTGTTGTCTGCGAAATCTTGTTCAAATTCTTTAGTTGAGGCACAGTGTTGAATTTACTATAACCAACACCACGGTTTTATGAGTTGCTTTTTATTCCTCTCTCGCGATGAAATAAGTAGCAATAATGTTGAAGGAACAGTTATGGCAGGAAAATAAGGGATTTATATATATATATATATATATATATAT